TATTAGACTACGAGGAGTTCCTCCTTTTCGGCGATGTCCGTCGGGCGAGTGGAAAAAAAAATCACCGGAAAAAATTAATCCAAAGGCAAATAAGCTGAACTTCCTCTCAATTGTGGCTGAAATTTCAGCTCAGTGATTGAGCAGAATTATTACTTTCTTTAATATGGGCCAAGAGGAAGAATTTGAGCGGTGCCCAAGGCATATGAAATTACCCGTTACACAACACCGTCCTAGCATGAATATCAAGAACGAAAATAAAATAAACCTTAATTCTTTCGTTTGAACTTTAGCTCTCGCACCAGCTCTTCGTCGATCGTCCACTCCGCGCTCGTCATGTGGAAAAGAGACCTCACTGCAATTCTTGCCTCTTATTAGTTCACTTCAAGCAGATGGCTCGTTTTTGTTTTATTTTATTTTAGTTCGCTTCTAGGGATGCCGGCTCGTCAGTTATTCTCGTTGAAAATCGTTGTTTGTCTTGTTCATACCTTTAGCCTTGTTTTTTTGAGGAAAATCCATAACTCGAAAGATATTTCCAACCAAACTAAATCGGTAGCTTGACCCTTTAACTCCCAGAAGTGATCAACATGTAAATTCTCCTAACAACATCCATACATTATCCAACAAACAGGTGATGATAATACTTAAACTTATCTGGTCGTCTTGATCTAACATCAAATTCTCCTGACTAATTTACAAGTAAATGTCTAGCCACTAGAAGAGTGAATTTGCAATCAGATCTAGGGGGTTAAAGGGTTAATAATAACCTGAACTTCATTATTCTTATCTAGGCTGTAACAGCTTCTGAACAAGACTTAAAAACACAGAAAATCTGAAAGCGCACATTTTTTATGGAATTTTTTTCCAGCAAGACTGATCCAAGGAGGCTAAAATTTTGAAGCCCAAATATTCTGATTTTAAGTTACAGGTCAGTTTTAAACGCACTTCAGACGCAGTTTAATGAGGTTAAATACAAATAACGTGTGAAAAAAGTTGTTCTTTTCTTTTTCTTTAACAGTTCGGTCTCGGCTCTGCATTTTTCCATGGTCCTACACGGAAAAACAATCATCCAGCGATAACTGATAAAAATCAAAGCCGCGAGACTTCTCGCCTTCCATTCTCCACAAGTTTATTTTTTTGTGTGTTAAATTCTGCCCTAGCGGATTACCAACTCAATAGCTCAAGTGCTGCAGAGTTAAAGAGTGGAGAAGCTTTTGTTTTTCTCTGAGTATGAAAGAGCACCTTCCCTGTTATAAAATGAAAAAAGGGGGAGGTTTTGTACTTATGACTTCATACAACACTTTTTTTTGCAAAGCATCACCACCATTTTCCCTCTCCCCATTCTCAAGGATAAGCAGTAAGGGTTGGACTCGACTCATTCTTCATCCGGGTCATTATCATTTGTATGAACCTCGTTGGGCTCACTTGAAAACAGCATATAACACAAGTTTGATAGGACAGTGATAACGGTGAACATAAATGAGCAAATGTGAATCAAAACCACCATTTCTTCAGATTTCTTTCGCTCCATTGAAGAACGGTTTGCACTAGAGACAAATGAACAACAAACAGTGAATGAAAAGCACGTTACACTAGAGGCTTGAGAGACAGGAATTCCTGCACGAGTTGCTACAACGAATATTATTTTCCCCTGCAAAGACGTTACTCTAGTTTTTCACTAAGTGCTATTTTTAATCTGTTAAAAAAGAAATATGGAAACAAAGAAACGTAGATCAACGTATCCTCCCCCCCCCTCCCCTACCAAAAAGGGATAGGTTAACATTTATACATGTTTAAGATGATATACAACTTCACTTTTATGGAAGCCTGGTTATTACAAGTGAAAGAAGATGATATTCAGTTAATGACGCAGGCATACGCGGAGGAAAAGAACTCCGATTGCTGCTAATAGGGGTCACATTACGACCTTCTCGACTCGTAGCAGGCTACGCTTTTGATGGTGACAAATTATACCTCCTGCATTCTGCTAGGATAGGAATGTTGAATGTGATGCTTTTGCGCAATGATGATGTAAATGAAGATGTTAAATTTTAAGCCTGGTTGTTCAAGTGAAGGAAGATGTTATACGACACTCGCAAACTCTCAGAATAGCAAAAATGTTCGTGAAAATCCGTGCTTGTGTATTCATGCTGGTTCGCGAATGAGATCCTTTCAGTTTTCATACACTGAGATTTTCCTTTCCAAGATACTCTTTTTAATGTCAGCGGAGAAATGCAGTTCGAAACTTTCGAATTGCATTTCTCCCTTGACAGTCAATTTTAAACAGCAGTAATAATCAATGGTTAAACTGTGTTACCTGATAGGGTTTAACAAAACTGAATATTAAAATAGTTACCTCATGAGCGATCGGTACTAGTGTGGCCGTGATACTTATGCGTGATACTTATATCGAGCAAAAGGCGTAAAGAACGAAAACTAAATTCATTAGTATGCAAAATCCTGAATTTGTGCTTGTGAAGCCGTAATTGAAAAACATGCAAATGTCAAATAGGAAAATTACCCTCTGACCCTTTGTTTTTCTTTGACTGACAGTGTTGGTGTGCGTGAAGATAATTATTGCTATTCAGTTTCCGAGCAAACATGTAAAATTGTAGCTTTGAACGACAATCAGAGGCTGTGAAGTGAATGATGACACCACTGGGAAATAAAATAAAAAGCCAGAGACACTTTAAAAGTAGATGGACCGACAATCAGGGGCGTTTTGATTAAAAAAGATTCATTAGAAGTCTCTTTTGAACTGCAGTGTGATGTCCACTGCCCGGTTAGTGGTATTTATGTGGTCTCCTCGACAAACAACGCGGGCAACAAAGAAATAGAAAGCTCAATCTGTGGGTTTGTTCTGCAGTTCACAAACATCATTGTTAAATGGAAATAAGCCGTCGTCGGCGTTGTTAGCACAAGTCCATTTTCCTTTCTTAACAAAGTCCAACATTTTGCACGGAAATGAACCTTACGACCCAAACAGAGCATGTAAATGAACATACAATGAACGACACCTGTTCTAAGGTTTATGGAAATGCAGTGACGGAAGTAGAAACTAAACCGGGAAAAGTTCAATGTCAGAGAAACATCCAAATGCCAAAAAAAACAAAGCGGTTTACTTGCCATTGTCATAAATTTTCTCGATTTTAATCACTGATTTAATGAAGGATCGGAAAAGTTTCGTTATTTATTATTCACAAAACTCAACATTAAAAAAAAAACCCTGTTTTGTTGGTTCAGAGCCAACTTAATTTCCCATAAAGATACGTTGGCTCAGAGCCTAAAAACTTCAATGCGAGTTTCTCATTGCATTCATTAACTCCTCAAATCAAGTCGATAGATCGCCTCCAGTAGATTAAATGTGACAATAATACGTATCGTGGAACAAAAAACTAGATTCATTAACTTATTCATGTAAACGTCGCTGCATTTCTTCCTCAAAAAAAATTCCCTCCAAATACTGTGCATGTTTAAGGTCACCAATAAAAGACTTGCTTAAGGTTAAATCGAGGAAGACCTCAAGTCGATAGATAATACTTGCATGTGTTTACAGAGTATTTTCGTTAGTTGGCGAAGAGAAAAGGAGTCCATTATCCCTTCGCTCTGACGAAAGGCTAACACTCGAAACGTCAGCTTTAGAACTCTACGGTGGCCAAATTACATCATCAACTCAGTTGATAAAACCTAATTATCTTATAATATCTTCCACTGACGTAACACCACAGTTTCTTCAGAAACCTACCCCCTTTATTCATTATCCACGTAGTTAACACAGCTTACATCAACAAGTGATGCAAATCATTTTCTGAAAGGAATGGGGAGAGGGTGAACTTTCGAATTTTTTTGGTTCGGATTTGATTTTTTTACGGTATTTTCTGAGAAACTGTTTCGCCTTATTCGATGGCTCCTTATTTTATTGGTTAATAATAAAGCATTCTCTATAAAAAGCAAACAGCCCATTCCTAATCCTCTATTGAGCCGATGAGGATAGTGGCTAGTACAAGGCTCCATGAAGCTCTGCAACTCGCTTCAAGAATGGAATGTGATTGGCTTGTAACTTGAGGTGATTGCTGACTTCCTGCCATTGGAGACCGCGGGCGTTAATACCAGTCTTGAATAAGAAAAACAGTCTGTTTTTAGTGCGAGTAGGGGTAACAAAATTGCCAGCTAAATATGAAACGTCAAACAAACGCGCAAAAACCGCGGTGAAGACGCTGCAATAACGTTTAGGTATGCACGTGTTGAGTAACTTTTCCATACAGTTTCCAAATGTTGGTTAATAAGTAAAATACGTGAAACCTAGGCCTTCGATTACGTTTGGCTTAAATTGGCGTCAAGGTCTTACTCTTCTCAACTACAATATGACTGGAAGAGATCTGAGCATGATATTGCGATTCGTTTTAATATGGGGCTCCGCTAGGTCACTGTAGCGGAGACATGGAACAAATTGTTATAACCTTATTAAATACCTACCTTAAAATGAACGCTGTCCAAAATGAGTCCTGTATCATCATGGAAACTCACGGCTATTGTTTCCATCCAAGCATTGTCTGTGTTACGCGGGTCATCCACATATCCTTTGTAAACCTACGGAGACGGGTCATTCGAGTATCACAGCAAACAGTCGAGTTGTAAAACACAAGTATTCCAATAATAACTCTAAATCTCATTTTCAAACACACGGTTTAACGACAACTTAAGTGTAGCTCAGGTTTGACTCCAGCCACCGCAGTTTACATTATACTGGTTGTACTGTGGATCCTGCATTGCATATCTCTTATCCGGACAAAGAAGACGATGACAGATTTTTATATAATAATTCCCATGAAGAAATTCAGTCACTAAGATTCAAGCAATTTGAAAAAGAATCTGGTTGCCTTCTATACTGTCCTCGACCTGTTTGATTCAAGGCTTTTTAAATTGTAAGAACACCCCAGTGGGACCAACAAGAGTAGATCAAAGCGAAGGCGTGATAGGGAAATTAGATCCACTTACCGGAATACCGTTGGAAAAAAGTTGCTCAAGACGTTCAGACATTAGTTGCTTTTCGTCTTCACTCGCACTTGGAGAACAGAGAGCCTCAGCGGAAAATTCATTACGAAGGTAGGTTGGAAACGTCTCTTCGGCCTCAACAGTTCCCTGTAAAATACATTCATCCGTGAGAAGTACGGTCTATGAAGAAGTGGGTCCTCAGTAAAGCGGGACTTTAGAGGAGATAAGAAGGGGTTTTGATACAATAAAAGCCAGTTACGGGCAGTCTACCGCCGCCTATAAGATCTCTGTAAGACCTCCATGAGACCACCGTCTGTTTATGCAGCGAACAGATGTCGTGTTTTGTTTTCGCCCTTACAGCTCCCTTTCCGGACAAAGCCGCCCAATGTACCATCGGCAGTTGCTTAGGGAAAAGTTTACTGATAGCCTGATTTAAGCCGACTAGACCCCGATGTACCATCTAGAGTTTCAAAAGCGCAAACTTTAACGCAGAGACTGATTACAGAACCGCAATTCTCAGTTGTAAATAGAACATTTTTGAATGAGAGGTTGGGGTCCCTTGGGTTTCTCAGACGTGGCCCATTTTATCTCCGATGGAAAAGGAATGGAATAGATCAAATCATGATGAGAAAAAGGGGCAGGCAGAGAATTTGCCGTAATTACGAACCCCTGGTAACGCCCATTCCAAGGTGTCGCGTAATTGAACTGCAACAAATTCCATAACACATTTGCCGAAACGTTCAACAACTGCTCCATCTTGAGTCCTCTTCCACCTATTAGGAAACAAAAAAGGTTAAGAATTTCAGTGTTTAGTTTATACAGAAACATACAGACTCAGCTTCAGAACAGTCAGACAATTATTCTAATAATTAATTATACAATAATTAATCAATTATTGGCAATCAGCGATCAATGAAGGCAATAGAATGACTAAAAATTCTGGAACGAAATCTTTGTATTCAGCACCTTCAGCGATAGCAAGCATGTCCTTGTGAAGATATTACGTGAGCCTGACGAAACAGAATTTCGCATAGTTCAGGTATCTGTCGGGCAGATACAACTCGCTAAAAATAGAAAAGTTATTCCGTATGACAACTTTAAAAATGCATCGGAGAGTTAATGCAATTTTATCCGCAGGTTATGATAAAATTTGTTTTCATTACTTCTCTAAGCAAAGGCTTAAAAACAAATGTGAATATGTAAGACCTTACAAAGTTTTGCCTTTCTTCTACAAAGTATTCATTACCTGAATATTAAAGAACAGTGACAAGGGATGAATTTTACCTGGTAATAACTGGGTCAGCAAAATGATTTGGTCCCCAGCGGCCAAGAAGACCTCTCGCGGCAATTCCCGTTCGACCCATTGGATTTCTAGCAAAGACAGTTGGTATTCAAAAGAAAATTCAACGTCAATTTGCCCAAAGCCATGTGCATAAAGTGCAACATTTAGCACAGAACTTTCAATACAAAAGAATATGGCATTCAGGGGCTTAAACGAAGATTGTTATGTGGCCGGTTCAATTCAAGGAGAAATGTCTAAAAGGAGAAAACAACAGGAAACTTCAATGACCCACCGTGGAATACCGTTGACAACTTCGTAAATTTTCATGTAGCTTCTTCGATCAACTCCTTTTCCAACGTCATTGAAATTCAGCTCTACATGTTGATAGGCAGGTCTAAAATATCACAAAAAGTAATCAGGTTTGTAGGATCAGATGTGAAATGCAAGTTTCTTTTAGCTTCAACATACGGAGAAGTTCCATCATAACCAGTCCGCTCATGGATCTTTTTCTCTTATCTTCCAAAGAGCAAGTGCAGAATGACCATTTTGTTCAAGTTCTCGCGCGCTCCCTTCGCACTTGGTCGCTTGTCAACCATAGAGAAACGAAACTGCTGTATACAGACCAGTCATTACAGACGCATGTTGTTTCAAAGATACTAAGCATTCTCTATATTGACCACTTTTGATAGCGAAGTACATGTTAGATGTATTTATGTATTTTTTTCCCCACTGACGAACAGTTTTCGTTTTACTAGAAGAGATATAACCAGAACTAATTTAAATCCTCCAAAACTCCAATTGTTTAGGGGATCGCAAAAGTCAAGCGCTCGACTTCAAGTTGTTGTGACCTTTTCACATATGACAGCCAATGTTGCCATATGGACCAGAAGCTGGTTGTGCAAGGAAGCGGAATTCAAGTATTTCCTTTAACTTACTCCAAAAGATCAACGTCGGCCCACTCCGGAGTTTGAATCATATCAAGCGCAGTGTACACTGGCGGAGCATAGCCTGGGAACGGCATCTAAATGAAAATCACTTCAAGTTAAACTCTCTTTGAATTATACCGTTATCTTTACACCATTATACTTGCAACATTGTATTCAGGTTTAGTAGCATGCTTTATCGTGGTACAAATAAAATTACTTATCATTGGTCAGTTGGCTTGTAAGGTTCAAAACTTCAATGAGAAGAGCAATAGCTCGTCTCCTACGTGCATTTCTTAACCATCCCCGGTAAAATAAAAACATGCAATCACCAAATTTTTTGTGTCCTGAGAACTGGAACTAGGCAACTCATATTTTACATTCTGTTTGGAACTCAACAGCGCTC